ATAAATCGCGTGTCTGCAGTAGTAACGGCTTGTCTAAAGGCGGGAACTGGCGCCCTCCGTCTAGAAGCTCCCCGACCTGTCTCCATAAAGGATCGTGTTGTTAAGCAAGGTCGCATGGCCAACGAGGCATTAAGTCAAATATTTACCTGAGGAGACCCTAGGGCCATAACGTTGCACGAAGGCAGACCAAGTTCGAGTTTCCGCCGCATGAGGCAATAAGCGGGCCACCCAATCCCTAATACCCGCAATGGGGCGAGGCGGACAGGCCATAGCTGCAATATGGCTAGTAAGTAAAAATTACAATAATTACAGAAGAGAGGGGGACATAACGAACGACGGCACTTACGAGTTCCGTTCCATCGTTCCGAAAATCTGACGAAGTCAGAAACGACGTGTTCAGTCTTGATAAAGAAATACTTGTGACAAAACTTATGGCTCACCCGGTCATCTGTCCCGACCACCGGCCCTCTCGTACCAAGAAGTCTCAAATGCACCATGGTACCCCTAAGGAAGCCAGGCATGAATAGGTGCAAAAGATGATGAACAGAGACGCTATACTCTGCCAACTCTACGTACTTAGTCAATAGCAGAAGCACCTTAAGCGTGTACGGCGAAAGCTGTACCGAGCACACCTGATAAAATCTACAGAACTCTTCCAGTAAAGGGAAGAGAGGAATGGCATAGCCGATCATGAAAGGATACTCGTAAAAAGCACAGTACCCAGGTCTGTGGACGTCAACGTAATCCTCCCCTGCCAGAGTCATCTCTACATGGGCAGGAATACCATACTTTATATGGAGGGCATCAAGATGAACCTGCCCCATCTCAGAAAATACGGGGTTTGGAGTAGGAGGTGGATCTTTTAGGAAATCACTCTGAGGCAAGGGATGTCTCGATAGTAGCGCCTCCACCGTAAGGGGGTTGTCACCCTCTTCTACTATCTCTTCTCCGTTGCCGGAAAGAGGCACTGTGGATGATAGAGTGTCTTCAGGAACCTCTTCTCTAGTACGACGAGACCTCGACATAGTATCGTTCAGAGGAGCAGCAACACAAAGGGAGTGAAAAAGAAGAAACTTCCGGTGATGAACGGAAACGGGAACAAGGGAGTATAAGAACAAACAATGAAGAATAAGAGGTTATCAAGAGAAAAATGGCTAAAGATTTTCAAAAAATCAAACCCTTCATCTATTTATAGGGTTGGGTGGCGCCATAATTGAGGCGGCATGCCTCAAATCAGTGCAAGAATCAAAGCGCCAAACCGTCAGTCCTTGCCTCGAAAATCCACGTAATGATGACGCACGTAAAGCTGACATCACCCCCGGGTAGCATGTACTTTTCGGTGCTCCGCTGAATATGATAGCCACCTCTCGTTGGCCACGTCGCAACGTTCCAATGGGTCAAATTTCTCCTAAAGAACGCATAGAGTCCGCTCATCGAGAACGCACCCGATCACGACCCTGACAAAGCGGAGGGACTAACTGTATGGGTTAGAATTTGACCAACCACGTCCTATAGTGGGCACGACAAATTGTTGAGCACCTGCGAGTCGACGCCCAGAATGATACGACCTTGTATCAAAAGAAGGAACAATACGACCTCGGCAGTAGAGTAAGTCCATTTAGGGGATATCGAGAACATTCCTAAAAGGTCTTTTGCATGTCACTTCTGCGGGGGGGGGAGGAGATTCCTCAATATATAAGAGGAATGGAAGCCTTGTAATTGGTCATGAGCGCTCTGTAAAACTCACCAACCAACTTTGAATGAAAAAAAAATTGACAACTCTCTTCTCTCTATTATTTCTATCCTAGAGTTTATTATCTTCAATTACGATTTACCTCTTCATCTTTGATTGATTTGTTCGAAAAGATCTTAACATCTTTTGAGTCAAACAAGCACGATGTTTGATCTTCTGCGAAGATGGTGCCAATGAGCGTGACATAAAGTTCAGAACCCTCTCCAATTTGGATGGTGAACACAAGTCCTCAGCAATACAAGATGAACAACTTTACATCACAAAATCGAGCATCTTCCACTAGAGCGAGCGAGCACAGATTGTGAAGGCATCTAAAACCTTTGCCATCACGTCCTCGTAAACCTGCAAAAAAAAGGGAGAGAGATGCGGGAGCCTACGATGTTAACTGCACGAAGCTTTTTGGTACTCTATTTGATCTCTGTTGAGTTTAAGGGCTGCTCTAGCGTCGTACATCATGTTGTCTCTGAATGCTTCGTCATCACTAAAAAATTGAGTTAGCAGTAATATCAAGCTTATCATGATCGAGCATGTGCCGTGGCCTGCTAATCTAAAACACATGACTTCTCTGTGTAATCAATGCGGTTGCGGCATGACTCCTCTGTATAATCAATGCGGTTACGAATGGCGTATCCATAACTGTGTAACTTGCTGTTGTTTTGTAGTGAAAATCTACAAGAAAAAAAATAGTTTGTTACGGACGGTATGACAGTTAAGAAGAGAGAGCAAGAAAAAAAAGCAAGAAAGAGACCATAATGGAAAATACATAGTTAGCGTTTTCGAGAATTGCGAGTTTCTTCCAAAATCTCTTGGTGATCCTTTTCTTGTCAGGTATATTGAGGGTCCAAAGTCTTATCTATTTATAGAGTTAAAAGGGCGATGGAAGTAATTGGATCTTAGATGGACTCAGATTACTACGTTGCTAAGCTTACTACTTTTACAATTCGAAGTGCAAGAGGAAACAATAACCAACTTCTACATGGACTTTACATCTAGAAATTATCTTCTCCTTATTCAAAAGGCAATGAGAGCTGTTTGGTTAAAGTCAAATTTTGTGCAAATGAAATGTGTCTTTGTCTAACGTGGATTTGGAATTCTTGGCTAAGTCATGTAACCTTTTTTTTCTCACAGAAAAGGTTACAACTTATCCAAATACTCAAATGCATTACTTGATAAAAAGATATGGATTAATTATTTTTACGGGTACTTCAAGTCTCGTCTAAGGTTCAACAAGTCTACACATCGATAAATTTTGAAGTAGGGGGCATCATTAGACGTATAAATTTATTGGGTCTAATCCATACAAAATTTGGATTAAATTCAATTGGGTTAAAAAATTAATTTGGATTTTACAACTTAAATTAGTCTATTTTATTAATTTCAAGCCCGAAGGTCCATTTAATCTTAAGGCCAGACTCATGCGATGTATCAAGTGACATGACATATCCAGTCAAACCCAAGGACAACAAGATGATGCCACTTGCTAAATGATGTGCAATCCTAGTCCAAAATAGTGATCAATCAAGAATTGCCTAAGTGTCTAAAATGACATGTCTTTGCCAATCACAAGCAAGCTTATCACATAACTTGTTTAATAAGTCACATGAGCCAATCAGAATCAAGCAAAAAAATTAATATGTAGCTGGACTGTCCATCCTTTACCACTATAAATAGAGGGGTTATATAACTCTCTAAGGGATATTCAGAGTTGGAGAAGAACATTCTACAATTGGTGAAGACATCCACAAAACAGAGAGATCAATCATCAAGTGCATAGTTCTTCAATAAAAGAGTGATCAACACAATTCTTCCCAAAGATCAACCCATAACAACAAAGTGCTACTCGACGTTCTTGGCGATTAAATACATCACAAGGAGGTCTGCATCGTCCTACATTCGAGAAAGACACTTCTCAAGCCCTCGAATCACGAAGAATTTTAGAGAGGAGAATCAAGGGATACATATAATTGTACTCACAAATATTTATCAATAAAATCTCTTTTTCTTTATAATATTTTTGTTGCAGTTTATTTTTCATACTACAAAAATTTGTTGCGAACAGGCTACAATCACCACCAGATTTTAACCGGAAATTACTCAAAGAAAACAGGTATTTTTTGCATCTAAGTGAAGGAGGAGATTGCAAAATAAAATAAAATAAAAAATAACTAAATAAATAAAGGTGGTGTATTGGTATTTCTATAGTAGAAAAGAAGAAAAGAAAGAAGGAAAAAGGGAGGAAGTAAAGAAGAGAGAAGATAAGAAGGGAGGGAAAAGATGAAAGTCAGTGATAGGTTGAAAAAGGGAGAAAATGATAAGAGAAAAAGAGAAGTAGCGGCTGAAAGAGAGGAGAAAGAATAGAATTTTAGGGTTTTAGCTATAAAATGATATTAAATTACTAATAAAGTCTATACCGAGTAGCTTGTGCCATTATTCTAATCGAGTGGCCATACATTGATGATTTTCTCAATAGTAGTGGAATGTGAGCAAAATAATTCAAAGAAAGACTTAGAGTTTCCTTCCTTCCTTACGGTAGCAATTGTGAAACATGTACGTAATTCTCTTTAATGCTCCATGGTCTAGTGTGAGATTTGGGCTAGAGTATTATTTTAACGTTTTGGTTATGATTATTCATAACTATATGGAATAGTTTGCAATCATTAATTATTTACATTTAATTATTGAAACTCGGACTCGCGTTTATTTTGGTTGAGTCATGAATAAATGCTAAGTGTATTGTATAAGTTGGTTCGCTTGTCGGATAGTGTTAGATAGGCGTAAGTCACGTCTATGGGTTACTATGCGACGTGACACCGGACCACAAAGTAGAACATATTTTTGAAAATATATAATTTAGGCAAATACTTTATGAAATAAAATGAGTAAAAACGAGGAAGGTGGTAGGCCGGGGTCTAGGGATCGCAGTGGCAATGACAATGTTAAGAGGCGAGAGGGGGAGGGTTGGGGAGGTGGAGGTTTGAGTGCAGAAGGAGGGGCATGTGGTGGGGGTGGTAGACGGTGAGGCGAGAAAAGTTGAAAAAGAGTTTCAAAAAATATTTTTCTCCGAATCCTTTTGGTAGGAAAGTTATTGAAGGAAAAAAAGTTGACTAGGAAAATATTTCAATATATTCAAGTCAACCAAATATTAAAAAATTAAAAATATTTTCCAGAAAACTTTCCTTCTTATCAAACACGACCTAAATCAAAATCCAACTTGAAATAGCAAAGGTTGCAAAATGCAATTTGCGGTTGGAGTCGCTCCATCCACGTCACTGCCTACGTATTTGAGTCGCTGTAAATGATTTAATGGTGGGAGCACCGCCATCATTCCTGCTTTGGCGGACGGCTTTAAATCCAATATGATATGATATTGGGTTGTCAAATGGCGAAAAAAAATCAAACTAATTATTATAATTAAATTGAAAACTCAGCTTCAGTTTCGTCGGAAGGCACATGGATGCTTGGAGGACACTCTAGCCAAGTACCTGTTTATTTTAGAGACTTGAAATTGAACTGCTAAATTCCAGCGACAAATAGAGAAAATAAATTATCAATTGCATGAGCATAGGGTTCAGGAGGTGGTTGAATTCATCGAATTCATTGGTGAAAATGGCAGAAGAACTCAATTCATCTACAACCACAACTGCCACAGCAAAACGATGGTCTTTTTGGCCCTCCCTTCTTCGTTGGATACCTACATCTACTGATCACATCATCGCTGCCGAAAACCGCCTTCTTTCTCTAGTTAGGTAATTTATCTCCACTTATTGTCCCACTCTGCGGATTTTCTTTATGTCGATGCGGCAATTACTTTCATCTAAGCATTCGCATACAATTAGTTGTTCTCTCGAGCCTTTTCGTCCTTTTCTAATTAAGGAACATCTAATCAATTTTATGTCAATCATGAATTAGTTCGGTTGGCTATATAAAATTTATTTGCTTATAAACAGATAGCTGAGTGGTTGACATGTAGGAGAAAACCTTGACATCATTGGTATACTTCAACCTATAGGTTTACTGGCAACTACATCTGGTAGGCTGTGGCATGTAACCTACTAGATTAGTCGACGTGCACGAAAGCTAGTTTGCCCCCTACTATGTCGAAAAAATCTCATTTTCATCCATTTCGCTCTTCATTACTTAGAGTATTTATTATAGTTTGACTGTCTCTATACTGCTGTCAAACATTTTCTAACTAGTCAACCTTGTAACTAGATTAATTGGATGTGTTACCCTATCGTACTAAAAATAATCGTTGTCATGGTAAATGGATTTATATGCTACTGCATTCATTGATTTGGCAAGTTGAAACCATGGGATGCTTTTAGAATTAGTGATGTGCAAGTTTTTCATTGTATTTTTCATGAGGCAACATGAAGTGACCATAAAGAGAACTATTCTTTCGCCTATAACAAAAGTTTGAGACTTCCTTGGTTTTGTATTTTTGTCAAATGTTTGCTTCAGTCGATAAAGACTGCAACTTTGCGGTTATTGAGGCTCAGAGGCTCATTTTGATTTTGTGCATTTTCTTTAATGCTAGGACTCCTTATACTCAAGAGCAGGTCAATATTGGGTCTGGTCCACCAGGTTCAAAAGTTAGATGGTTTCGATCGGTGAGCAATGAACCAAGATTTATCAATACCGTTACTTTTGATAGCAAAGAGGGTTCTCCTACTCTTGTTATGGTCCACGGATATGGTGCCTCTCAGGGTTTCTTCTTTCGGAATTTTGATGCCCTTGCGAGGCATTTCAAAGTTATTGCTATTGATCAGCTTGGGTGAGTATATATTATGTGAATTTGGGTGCAAATTCATAATGTTATACTGATGCTTTCCTCCCTATTGAAACATGCTCTAGTAGTGTTTACACCGCATGTACCAGGTGATATAGAAGAGTCAATTTAATGATTTTTGTTTTGATTCAAGATGTTCTAGTTGTTTGGCAAGTTGCCATAACTGAGACTTACCAGATTTGAAAATTATCTGCTAATAATAGTTTATTGCACATAAATGTGTACTTGGGCACATTTGGGTCAGTTAGTTTGACACTAAATGCTCTTAACCAAGCATTCTTCTTCGGATGAAGATATTTACTCATCGTGCTAAATACTAATATTTGAAATTAGATCCCTTTGGGTGGATTGTAGTGTGTTTTGTTTTGTCGGTTTGCATACTCACCTAGTTGTAACTGCAAATAATTCTTCAACTGAAATCTCCGACTTGATGTTATTATGGGGTGATACAAAGATGTAGTAGCCAAATTGTATTTATTAGTTAAAGAGGCACACAGCATGTTGCTGCACTCAAACTGAATAGATTGCAACACAACTATCCAAGGAGCTATCTGACTTGAAAGAGCAGAAAGATTCAGCGCTTTCTATGTAGAAACTATTTATATATGTATCACACAAAGGCTCTGCAATTTATAAAATAGGATGCTTTTGTGTTGACACTAATTTATTCTGCTTGAGAAGTTTGTTGAGACTACATGGTCTAATTCAAGCATTCTTTACTTCCTTTTGCTTTCTTTAGTTGCTTTAAGAGCTCCTGTTATAAGTCTTAAAGGAGAACAGGAGACTGGAGGTGGTCTTCCAATAGATGTCACTTTTATGTTGAATGAAAAACAAAAGAAACAAATGAGCAAAGTGGTAGTTTTCTAACTGGCTAAATGTATGATGCAGCTGGGGTGGTTCAAGCAGGCCTGACTTCACATGCAGAAGTACTGAAGGTCAGTCTTATGCTTTATTCCAAAGCTGAGTGTTTTTGTTCAATTACACACTTGACTGATGAATAAAATCTATAATAATCACCCAAATTTGGTTCAATTATTGGAGGAGTTGATGGAGATAACATATATGCTGCTTATGTACTGAACAATCTTGATCTGAAAGAAGCTCCTTTTTGTCTGTAAAACATTAATGCAGAGACTGAAGATTGGTTTATTGATTCCTTTGAGGAGTGGCGCAAAGCCAAAAACCTTAGCAACTTTATTTTGCTTGGGCACTCTTTTGGAGGGTATGTCGCTGCAAAATATGCTCTCAAGGTGATTAGTTTTTATCGAACTGTGAATTTTCTGTATAATGTATATGGGCACGTATATTTTACTGATGATTGACAAGTGTATTGCTCTTGTAGCATCCAGAGCATGTTCAGCAGTTGATTCTGGTAGGACCAGCTGGATTTACATCAGAGACTGAACATATGTCCGAGCGGCTTACCCAGTTTAGAGCAACATGGAAGGGAGCCGTCTTGAATCATCTGTGGGAGTCTAACTTTACCCCGATGAAACTTGTCAGGCAAATGCTTTTTTAAACCTTTGCTTCTACTTCTAGTCTAATATGCTGCTGAACATTGTTTTTGCAAGTATATTTACTGCATAATACGTACATTTTCGGTGATACTTTCATATGTCTGATTGTGCTCATTGGTTCCTTCTTTCACTGTAGTTTCTGGTTAGACTAGTGCCAGCTTTTACATGTACTTAACGTACATAATTAATTCTAAGATGTATGCATACTGCTGCTTATGATCATCTCGCCTTTAGTCCCATTCTTCCACTGATACTTTCATATGGCTAGCATATCGTTTGTTGGTTGCAAACGCGGTACTTGGGTCTGGGTGTAAATGATTTTCGAGGAAAGCATGGTAAATGACCTGGGGTACCCGTATAACAACAACAACAACAACCCAGTAAAATCTCACTAGTAGGGTCTGGGGAGGGTAGTGTGTACGCAGACCTTACCCCTACCCCGAAGGAGTAGAGAGGCTGTTTCCGAAAGACCCTCGGCTCAAGAAACAAAAAGACAAAAGGGGGACAATATTAGTATCACCACATAAATCATAGGAAAAATAGGAACAACATTAAATTCAGAAGAAAGATGCAAATCAAAAGCGATAGATAGTAAATAGGTGATGCATTGAAAAGCTTAATAGTAAGACACAATATTGCCAATAGCTATCTTAGACTAAAATCCTACCAGATTAGTCTCATAAAGGTACAAAGTAAGGCAAGATTCAACTACCTTCTAACCTACAACCCTAATACTCGACCTCACATTATCCTATCAAGTGTCATGTCCTCGGAAATCTGAAGCCTCGCCATATCCTGCCCGATCACCTCTCCCCAATACTTCTTAGGCCGCCCTCTACCTCTTCTCGTGTTTCCCACAACCAGCCGCTCACACCTCCTTACCGAGGCATCTGGGCTTCTCCTCTGAACATGCCCGAACCATCTGAGTCTCGCTTCCCGCATCTTGTCATCAATGAGAGCCACGTACACCTTCTCCCGAATATCATCATTCCTAATCTTATCCATCCTAGTGTGCTCGCACATCCACCTCAACATCCTCATTTCTGCTACTTTCATCTTTTGGACATGTGAGTTCTTAACAGGCCAACACTCAGCCCCATACATCATGGCCGGTCTAATCACCGCTTTATAGAACTTACCTTTGAGTATCGGTGACACTCTCTTGTCACATAGGACTCCAAATGCTAACCTCAACTTCATCCATCCTACCCCGTCAATCTCCCTCCTCCCTGGATAATCGACCTAAGGTACTTGAAGCTGCCTCTTCTTGGGATGGCATGTGATTCAAGCCTCACATCCACGCCCACTTCCCCCGGCTCGGCGCTGAACTTACACTCCAGGTATTCCGTCTTCATCCTGCTCAGCTTGAAACCCTTAGACTCAAGAGCGGGGTACCCATATAAGATACTGGAATATGGATTAGATATATTCTTGGGTTTCTTAATGCCAATATATTCATGGTTTCTTAACTACCTAAACTTAACTACTGTCACACGATGGTTTGCTTCTTCTTAATTTAGTTGGGCACCTTTTCTTGAATGGTAGAGTTTCACATTCCCAAAAAATGACCAAATTTAAGACACCAATCAATTAATCAGGCCTCAATCCGAAATTAGTTGGTGTCACTCCGTTAGCTATATGATCCAAGCAACGCAAAAATCTATTCAAAAAAAAAATGTAAGATACCATTTCTTCTGAACCCTCTGTATCCCGCGTAATGCAAGTCATCGTTTCAAAAAGCGGAAAAGAGGTAGAATCTCATTTCTTTGTATTATTTGGTCTTGATGTGGCATATCACTTTTATTCCATGTTCTCAACTTGGCTATCAAACCTTTTCTTTGTTCCCCTTAAAAGGATGTTTTATCGGTATTAACGGGGTAACTTTTTATCTTAATGTGTTAAAAGGAAATCAAGGAACTAACCTTTTCTTTCTTTGATTTATCATAATTATCTGTAAATTCAGGCATTCATTGTGCGTTTAATTTTTATGCAACACATGAGGCTTTCAATTTTTCTTTACTTGTGAAAAGAAAAGATCATGGTTTTCCGGAAAAACACCTTATATTAGTAAGGGTAACCCTGTGGCTTCTGATCTTTATCTCTGTTTCACTCTCTCTCCCTCCTCTCATAGTCTATGTTTTCAGTAACCAAAAGAGTTATTAAGTGCGAGAGTCATTTCTTTTTAGTATTTATCAGTGATTTGATAAAAAAGTTCGATTCCACAGATGGTTGTTGCATATGCTAAATTTAATTATTTTTTATGTTGATGCCTGTGAATCTTTACTGTTGTGAAGTGTTGGTGCTACTCATATTTTTTATATTTGATACCCTGTCTTGCTTATTTACTTGTTTTTGGCTCAAAGTTGCTCCCTGTAGCAGTCCGGGATTCTTTCCTGGATTGAAGCTTGAACTGGAGTAATAATCTGAAAGAATTTTGTTTACATGGCCTTATTCATCTGAAGAGTGCTAATATTGGTCATAATTAATAATGCAGAGGCTTAGGCCCATGGGGTCCAGACCTAGTTCGCAAATACACTAATGCTAGATTTACTGCATATTCTAATGGAGATAGTTTGACCGAGGAGGAGTCCAGGCTACTCTCAGGTACATTGCATATTTTATTGATTTGCATGGTTTTTCATTTCTCATGATGTTGTATACCTTGCACGTCTTAGGTTTCTAATACTGATTGTTTGCTTTATGAAAGATTATGTATATCATACCTTGGCTGCAAAACCGAGTGGGGAGCTATGTTTAAAATATATAT